TCTGTTGTGCAATTAATTTTCTTTTATAACAACATTATAATTTTGTCTCTCTGTATTTATTATCTGTGGATTTTTTTTTTTTTGGATTCATTTTTGTAATAACTTTAGTTAAAAAAAAGTATATACATAAAATATGAACAATAACTAAAATTTAAGAATTTTGTCAAAACATGCTATATATAAGTCCTAAAGCAAGCCTATTTAACAGCTATATATATATATATAAAGTTTTTGTTTTGTTTTGGAGGTTCAACTAGCGATTAGTACTCCAAAAATAATTTGACGATGTATTTAAATCTTGGTTATCCAAATTCTTGTTAATTATATAATCAAGAGCTATCTAAATCAATGTGTGAATTATAAATTTTATGAGAAAAGATAAAAATGTATCACTCTTGTTGAAAAAGAAATGTAAACTATATTGGATATCTAAAGTACTGAACTCCAATCTCAAAATGATGTCAAAACATATTATATTCAAAGTGAATAAGCCCAACGTGGTCGGGACAATACATATGTTTTCTAGTTATTAGACTCCAACATTAAGATTTTAGCATCAAGAAGTAACAAAACGAAAAACTAAATCTCTTTTGGGTTTAATCAATTAAGTAGGTGGGTTCCTCTTCAAGAACTTACGAGCCCAAATATGCTTCAAGTTGATATGAAATTTTGATAAATTAGTCCCTTCCAGTATGCGATCCACGGTAGTGACCGAGTCCAAAACCAATCTCGCGAAGAGTTTTTGCTGGCCATTGCTATTTGTGTATGTGTAGGAGACGTTTTCATTGCCCTCCGACATGTAAACACATTCAACACAGTTTTCTCCAAACTTACTAGTGAAGAGTTCATTCACCTCATCTTTCGACACTGGAAACCCACGAGAAAATGTTATAAACATGGTCCTGTCTTCTTCGCTAGCGATGCAGTTAGCGTTCCATCCCCATATCCCACTAGGGATGAGGAATAAGTTGTTGTTGGAGAGATTATCCCCACCAACAACATCAGGCATCACGTTGATACTTCCAAAGGTTGGATGCGGGAAGCCAGGGATGATGAGAGGGCAACGAAATCTGGTAACAAAGGTGTATGGCGAAGAACACGGAAGAATTTGTTGAAGAATGTCAGAAAAAATTCTAGAACAAATAGTGGTTAAGAAGTTTTTGATTCCTGTTATGGCAGTATATCGATATTTGTAGATTATGAGAAGTGATATGTCTTTCCTCATGATTTCGGCGGTGAGAGGGATTTCTTCGAATTTTTTTGGAAGTTCGTCGAAATCAAGGCACTGGTAACACGAGATAGCCTCGTTGGCAAGAGCCAAAATGAGTGGATCGGTGAATGCCATGATGATTGAGAAGATGTTTTCGTAGCCAAAGTCTTCAAGCCAAAGCCATGTAGCCACGATAAGAAGTGATTCAGCTGCGGGTTTTGAGAAATTTAGGACCAATTTAGAGAAAATCTTTCTTTCTCGGGCATAGAATGTGTGTAGTTGTTCTACGGTGGAGAGCGCCATAACCAGTTTCAGATCTGGATAGACTATTAGAAAAAACAAATTCTTACTACGAAAGTTTTGGAGAATGTTTTATTGGAATATATCGTTGGTATCATCTAATTGGTTCGTTTTATAGATATAAGAAAATCACAGTTTTTAGAAAGGTCATTTAAGATTTTGACTATAAATATTTAGCTATTTTATCTTTTTGTGATAGTTTTAAGTAACGCTCGCAAAATTTCAAAGTTTGTTATGTTATATTTACATGTGTTGTGGACTGTTTCATATCAATGACTAGATTCTTTTGGAGTGTAGTTGACTACTGGCATTGAGTTCTAACAACTTCTAAAAGCAAAAAAAAAAAACCAAAAATTAGTAATTACTGCAATTCAGCTGTATATATAATAAAAGTCAGGTATATGCTAAGTTGAGTATATGACTTTAACAAATCACTAATACCATATGGCTCTAACTACAAATGGACATGGACACCAAACTTTTTCCTTAATTAAGTTTTGTCAATGAGAATTTGCCACGTGTTGTCTTCATTGTATACATTTGAGTACATTAGAAATTAATTTTATGATGTACGTTTTTCTAAATATTTAAGATATTATTTCTTTTTATCTTATCTTCTGTTCTTTAATCCAATTGGAGATATTTAGTTCACTTCTCTTCTACTTTTGTGATTGGTTATAGGGATTACTAGTGCAGTACCCACGTCCTGCGCGAGATAAATATATAAAGATAGATTTTACCAACCATAATCATGTGGACTAAGCCAATTCAGAACTAATTTTATTATGATCATGTAGTGAATTTATTTAAAAAGAAATATACATAGTGGATTTAAACATAAAGCTGATGATTTAGCTTATATAGTTGATGATGTAGCCTCATGTCGGTGTCGAATCTCGTTCTCCATAAGCTCTAGTTCAGTCCTAGCTTTTACTTTTTTCATCTCGAGTACCTTCTTTCTGTCCAATAGCCTTTCGTAAGCTTCAATTGCCATACAATGAGTTTTGAAAATCTTTGACCATGTAGGAATAATAATAAGAAGGTAAAATGTATAGAGATTACTATATAATGAACTCTAATAATTCAGTAAGAAATGATTTATGGGCGGAAACGAACACATATACCTTGACGATGAAATCTCTAAATCTCTCCGATTATGAATTTATAATAGACGTTCCCTAAGATCCGGAACCTTGAGACATCTTATCTAGAATTTAATCACAAGAGTTGTACCGAAAAGTATATTGTGTATTTATAAACACAAGATTTAAATATCTTTCTTTTAATTATGAAACATAATAAAACCAAATATAATATAGTATCCATATTTTTAAATCAGCATAAATAAGATAACTAAAATAAAATTACTTTAAACATAATATCAAATATCAATATTTTTAATAATTTTAAACAAAACTTTAAAATAAAAAGATGAACTCCAACGATTAAAAATAGAATTAAGAAAATAAAACCAAATAAAAACATGGCACATTATATTCTGCCAAAACAACACATGTAAGAGTCATAATCCTTTCACAATCATCATCACCGAGCAACCGTCTTAAGATGGATAGAAAACTATCTATTGCATTTGGAGAAGACCATTGAACGACTTGAACCATTGCATGGACATACTCATTATCATCATCGAATAATCCTAATGCAAAACATGCATCTTTAAAAGTAGAATATACTATGCCACAGATAATACGAATATCTTCAAAACATGTCGGACCTCTAACGAAACCAAGCAATTGTCTGAGATAATAAGCCTCGCCGACAGAAAGAAGGGGACATACACCAATCTAGCTTATTAGTAACCATGCTCATTAGACTGCACCCCGTCCCAGTCCTTACACGCGTTCCGTTCCAACCTTTACCCGTCCCATCCCATCCCAACCCCTTATCCGTCCATCCTATCTAACCTTTACCCAAAATGACCTTCGAACCCAAAAATCATACATTTTCTTTTCTTCTTTCTCTAACAAACACACACTCTCTCTCTTTTATACTCTTTTTGTGCACAAACTCTCTCTTTTTTAAGAA